AGCATTACGACTAATGTGAAACTTGTAATCTGTATTGCTCATGTGTTTTGAATGTAACTCATAATGGTTGTGAGTTGTGACTTTTGGGGACAATCCTTTTTATGATGCCATTCTATTTTTTCAGTTTCCACTGCCAATTTTAATTTTGAATATTATGCAACATGGCAATGTGCTTAAAAAGTAACTTTTGTTGAATGATAATAGGAGAAATGTAAAAGAACATTTTTTATGCACAAAAGGAAAGAACTATAGAAAGAAGAAAGCAAACTAGTTGAGATACCAGATGAGATTCGGATAGGCATTTAAAGCTTAAGCATTGGTCCATCTACTTTGATATTACCCTTTTTCAAGATCTTTTCTCATGCATATGCTAGTTGGCTAGTTCCTAGTTGATAATGTGTCAATTCACTTGTTGAATTACTCCCTACTTCAGAAACTATCAAACTTTGGTTTTCGTATTCCAAACATCTGATGGGAACTCCATCTTTACTTTTTTCTGGTCAAATTCTGGATGAAGTCTGTTTTCTAAGTGTACTAACCTGGTGACTCTCAATGTAAAATGTGTGATAATTTTTTGCAATCTCTTAAGCAAGTAATTTCATAGTTTGCAACTCTATGATGTCCAATTATTACCAACTTTTTATGAATTTACATAACAAAAAGTTGTTTTTATTACACCTTTTATCAAAATTGAATTTCTTCTGTTTTCATTCCTCGATCTGTACTATTTTAGTGTGTGTTTGATTCATGTTAGAAGACTTATAAATGTGGATCAGATGTTGAAGTTACAACTAATAGTATTGAAGTAAATGTGGATTCATAGGCATTTAAACGCGACGTTAGGAAACCTATAAACATGAATCAAACATAGAAACTACATCCAGTAACGTTGAAGTAAACATAGATTCATAGGAAATTAAATGCGAATCCAAAATGACGAATGGTAAATTTTGACTGCAGCAACAGCATCTTGCTTTCTTATTCGTTTCGATAGATTACATTTAATTTCTGATTTACAATCTCTATTTATTGTCTTTCTTATTGTTGTCAGGAATGGTAGCGGCCCTTACCAATGAGAGTGCTACAAGCAAATCTGTATACTTTGCACACTGCACATCAGAGATGATATTTATCACTCATTTGTTGGCCGAAGAACCTGAGAAACTGGCAGGGCCATTATTGGCTGACACTTAGGTGACCTTATTAAAAGGTCGAAACGCATGGTATGGCCAGATGCTTGCTAAGGGTGAATTAAGCCCTGACATGGGTGACAGCATCAGTGGTAAAGGAATGATTCAGGTATGTTTCGAAATTTCCACTTATTAGTTCCTTCCAAGCAATTCTTCTAAATTCCTTAGGTGTGCCAATTGCACTTTGGAATGTACAAATTGTATAATATGCATTAAAATGTGAAATATGAGATAGTACCTTGAGGAGAGTTTGCAGCTGTTGTAGGAAGAAATAAGTTAAGGATGGTTTAAAGCATCCTTGCAATTGCAATGTAGATCTTTTTTCTTTAATTAGTCCTTGTATTATCATTGGCATTTGACCTTAAATTTGTAGTCGGATTTACAAGAGCATGAACAAAGAGAAATTTTCTTGATACAAAAAATATGATATTACAATTTCATACAAATAGATCTTTTTGATTGAAATAGTAAGGATCCTCCTCCAATCCCTACTATTTCATGCTTTAAATGTAGAACAATAAAACATACACAAACATGCACACCAGCAAGACGAGCCAGTTTGTTCCGCGCAGCAAAAAGCTTGCCAAAAGGTGGGCTAGCCCATGCACACCTTCATTTTAAAAGTGATATATCCTAAACCAGACTGTAAGGGGTGGACCAGCAAGCTAATCGGCCAATCTACCAAAAAAAATTAAACAAATCAAATTATTAAAATAGCATTAAATTAATAGTTAGATAATAAATAAAATATTTTAATTATTTTTATGTTTTGAAAAAAAAGCATGATGGGCTAATTCGATATACCCTCACTTGCCATTGACTCTCATTTTGAGGTGCTTAAACAGGATATAGACCAATGGGCATGGAACTCATAGTTCAGCCTGCCAGTTTAAGTAGGTTAAACAAGTCACCCATTGTGTCAGACCCATTTTGTCATCACACAAGTGAATTCGTAGAACTAAAAGATTAATACTTCATAGTTCATGTGTACCTGCAAGAACAAATTTTGTAAAATGTGAAAGTGAGATACAAATAGGATGCTTTTGACCATTTTGATATTGTGCAAACTCCAACCTCAAACTACTGTAGATAGTTGACCTCATAAATGCCTTTGTTCCATAAGTTGTGAAGTTAATATCATTCGCAAGAGAAAGGAGGATTTTCCCTTAATTTGTGAATTTCTCCTCACATTCAACATTTTATTACCTATCATTTTATTTTCATTCAAGTTATTCTGAGTGAAAAAAATTTACCCTATTTATCTTTCTACTCTAGGGTGTCTCTGCAGTGGAGGCCTTCTTTGAACTTTTGAGCCATTCAAGCCTGAATGTGTTGCACCCTGAAGATAACAAGCCGGTTGCTCCAGTTGAACTTTGCCCGATCTTGAAGACACTATACAAAATATTGATATCCAGGTAATTCATTTCTTGTTACCATTTCCTGCCTGTTGTCATGACCCTTTCAGCTTATGACATTTGAGCAAGTAATTTAAAGTAGGCTTAACTGCAATTTTCATTTCTACACTTTAGCTTATATACAATTTAGGTCTCCATAATTGTAATTGCTGACATTTAATAATCTTTGTAGGCTCCCAATTGTTAAAAGAGAAATGTTAAATATACTTTGTAATTGGTTTATTTTTTAAAAAGTTACTTAAAATCTTATCAATCACAAAATGGGTATTAAAAATGTGTTTAAAAGCATGTTGTTAACAGTTCTCTCTTTAAAATTATGTGCGTAATTACACATTCTTATTGATGTTTGATAATTGATGAGAATGTAATGTTGGCATTAATTTTTCATTTAAACACATTTTTGTGTTGCCTATATATATAGCAAGTGATTTGTATATATTTTTGCTTTTCATGAAAAGGTACACTATATATTAATTTCTTATTATGTACATGTTAAAAAAACTATTTTAATTACTAGAAAACTGAAAACTAAATAAATTATAATTTAGGAGATCAAATTTACGCGTAAATCGAAGTATAATGACATATTTTTTCAGCCTTAAAATATGAAGACCGACAGGGTAATTAAATTGAACCTTTGAAGTGTTTGGACATATCTAAGTTTCTTTCCCTTATTTGTGGTGCATGTTGGGTTTGTGTGTTTCTCAGGGAACAGTCATCACAAGCTATTCTCCAAGCTCTTAGGGATGAAAATCTGAATGATCCCCGAGAACGCATTGAGATTGCACAAAGCCATGCTTTTTACAGGCCTTCACTTCTTGGACAACCATGATTATTTTATCTTGGCAAGACATGTATGCTTCCATAACCACATATGTGGGGCATTGTCAAGGCTTTTCATTTTTTGATACAGTTTCAAGAATGATGACAAATATAACCCATGTTGGCAATTGGACAGATGATAGCTTAAAATCACTGCTACCACCTAGGGAATGATCAAAACTGTTGTGGTTATGTAGCAAACTTATAGACAGTTTTGTACCAAAAATATGAAAATAATTTTTCCTTCAAAATATTTAACACAACTGTATTTATTAGAATTTTAATTTAAAATCATAAATTAAGTAAGAATAATTTTGTGTGAGTTGATTTATATATTCGGTAGTTTGTTTGAATATTTTTAAAAAATCATTTTAAGATTTGTTATAAATTTTTTTAATTAGTTATACTTCTTTTTTTTGGGAAAAATATTTAAAATTTTAATATTTTTCATAAACTATTAATAGTTCTCCAAAATAATTGAAATTTAATATTTTTAAAAACCTAAAGACAAATACTTAAATTCATTAAAAAGAAGCAAGTGATTTTATTATGAAAAAACTGAAACAAATAGGCTCTTAGCTGAGGAGATACAGCCACAAAATAAATAAATTGTAAAAGTTTGTGTGAGCTGGTTACCTTTGTGTTCTTAGTGATTAAGCTTATCAAACTAACTGTTAATGCACTGGTCACGTCTTTAATCAAACTTGTACCTTTGAATGTTTTTGCCGTAATAGTTGCATTAGTCACCCTTAGATTTTGATGAGTTTTTGTTGGTGTAACACTTAAATATTTTTAACTTTGCCGATAAAAAATATAATAATATAATATGATTAAAAAATACTTTATTTTGTGCACATTTTTAATGAAGTGTTATATGAAAATAAAAAATAAAATATTTCTTTTTAATTTTTTTATCTAAAAATTAGTTAACATGTCTTAATAAAAGAACTAAAATAAATAACACTACACATTTAAAAAATAATTTTTATTTTTAAACACTAAATTGAAAATTCCCTATCTGCTAACGACTAATTTGATGTTTTAACCTTTTCAAAATAGTGTCAACTTAGAAAAAAAAAGGTTTTAAATAATTTAATCAATATTTTAAATAAAAACAAAATTTAAAGAATTTATGTAAAAAGTTGATAATTGAATTTGCTTAATTTTGAAAAATAAATAAACTTAATTATATTTAAAAAATTAAAATTAAATCATAAATAATTTAAAGTTAAGGATATACAACTGCAATTAATCTTAAAAAAATAATTATAAAGGTGCATAGAATAATTATATAAATAATCGATTATGTTTATAATCACACGCTATTATAATTAATTTTATTTTTATAATAAAATATTTATATATTTAAAATAACTAATTATTAAAAATAAACTAGAAAATAAATTGATAATATACGGTCACCAACTTTAAATTTGGACATATCTTAAATAATATATTTTTAATGAAAAATAATGAAAAAATATAATATAATTTATTAGCAATGACCAAATAAAAAATAATATCTTAAACATAGTGTTAGTATAACGTGATATTTGCGTATTTAGTGTGGTCTGAGTTTGAGACGGAGCAAGGGTTCCAAGTGGTGGTGGAGTGAGACGAAGGCGCATAGAAGAAGAGAATGGTGGAAAGCGTAGCATTAAACGACGTCGAACTCACCTTAAAGCCTTTCTATCAGAGAGCCTCAGAAGTAGAGGTCACTCAAATCTCAATTCGTTTTCTTATCCTCTCACTTTCTTTCATTTTATTTATTTTTTATATTTATATATTCTGAAAACCTATCATTCCTCAAACTATTTGTGATTCAATGTTTCAATGAATCTAGCTCCTTCGTATTTTCATTTTATATTAAAGCTACCAAGCACGTAGTTGCAGGCTATGAAGAGTCCAAATGTTTCATAAAATTGGGAAAAACGAGATGTTAATTGCAAATAACCGTAGCGGAGCATATACGATATTGTATATTATATTTTTGCCTTAAATTGACAAAAATATATAATAATCAGATGTGTTTTGTGATTCATTTAGCTCTCTCCTCTTTTGTTCATTGCTTTCCCTCACGATCTAAAGAAAATTATGTGTTTAATTGGTACAACAAAAGAAAAAGCGTGGGATGGTTGAAAGTGAAATTTCATGTTTGCTCAACCCCCACAATTATGCCTCTCCTTGATGCCAAAGTGATCTTAATTGCATTTTTGCTTCCCATGCTCTAATCTATGTACAATTTTGGTTCTAATTTTGATTGCTCACATTTAGTCTTAGTAATTTCGTAATTGTTCAAATTGAGTGTTTCACCTCAAAATTTCATCTAATAATGAACAAAAATAGAATGGAGGCCTGACACTATTGACTTGTATAAATTAGTAAAGAAAAAATGTATAAAGTATTTAAATAAACATACTAAATGAAAATGCATAAAATATAATGAAAGTATTTTTCTAGTTTTATTTAATTATTTTATATAGTTTTTTCTTTGTCAATTTGTATAAATCAATGATATATCATATCTTTGTTATGTTTTTGTTAATTATTAAGTGAAGTTTTGGAGTGAGAGACTTAATTTGAATAATTGAAAAACTATAAGGACTAAACATAGGCAATTAAAACTAGAGAGACTAAAATACGCATAAATTAGAATATGAGAATTAAAAATGTAATTAAAACTTTTTTTACTCATTTTCCTTCTTCTAGCAAGCAGCAGAAGTGAAAATTCGGAATTTGATTTGGTTGGTTAGTTCCCTTCTCCCCTTATATTCTGGTTCCCTTCATTTCCCTATAGATCCTAATTCCAAACTTCTACCTAGTCGATGGGAGACTCTTTCTGATCTAGAGAAATATAAGAGGCTTGTTGGGAAGTTAAACTATATCATTGTCACTTGTCCAAATACCTCTATTGTAATCAGTGTGGTAAGTTAGCTTCTTAACTCTCCTTATGAAGGATATTGAGATGTGATAATTCACCTTCTAAAATACATGGAAGGAACTCCAGGAAAATATAACTCTTGTGTGAAGATATGAGTCACTGAAATTGTGGGTTACTTTAATGCAAATTGAGTAGACTCCCCTATTGCTTGTTCAAGTGCATAAACAAGATATCGAGTCATGTCAAACATATTTGGTTGAAACAACTAAAAGAATTAAGATTTGACGAGATTATGAAAACGACACTCATTTGCGATAATCATATAACTCTGCACATTGCTTCAAATCTAGTGTTCCATGAAAGAGCAAAACATATTGAGATAGATTATCACTTCATTAGGAGAAAATCTTATCCAAAGATATCATCACTAGCTTTGTCAATTCAAATAGTCAATTGACAAATGTCTTCATCAAATCATTTAGAAGTTCTCGTATTAGTTATTTATGTGACAAACTTGATGCATATGGCCTATATGCTCCAGCTTGAGGCGAAGTATTAAATATATGTCATTATAGTAATAAGGCAGGTTTATCTTTGTTTATGTTAATTAGGTTACTGAATATTCTGCAAATATTTTGTAATTATTGCTATTATTAATAAAATTATATGCTCTCTTGTGTAGTTGAAATACGCAGATTCATCACGTATTCTCTTGCTTTTCTCTCTTTCAACACAGCCATTTGCTTATATCTTGTGCAGATATGGAATTGAGTTTCCACTACATTCTCTTTCCACAGACTTGCTGTACTACAAACTGCATGAAATTTTGGCAATGTTGCAAAATATGGCTCCTTTTTAGTGAAAAAACATTGGGATTTCGAAATGAAGTTTCCTTGTTGGAATTGGAAGAACTTCAAAGTTTTTCCTTATACAGGGATTGTCGCTGATAATTTAATATCATTATGATTGAAATTCAATGACTGTTATGGCTTACGACCATATGTTTTGTTTCCTCTGTGTCCCAAAAACTATGCAATTACTTCATCATACTGTCATAGAGTACAGTTAAAGCTCAATCTCTCTGGTTGAGCTTTGTTAAACTTAAAACTCTTTTTGTGTGTAAATTACTGAAGGATTTCTTATGACTCTCTTACCAGCATATCTTTATTGCAGGAGCGCTTATCGAGACTTGAAGCTGCCTTTAATAGTGATAAAGGTAGGTGGTACTCTTTGCAACAAATAGTATCCTCAGATTGAAGCCCATCCCTGAGATTGTGTCCTTAAATTACATATATATGAAACTTACTCAGATGCTGGAAATGAGGAACACTTGAAAGTGATTAATGATCTCCAGTCAAAGCTAAATGTTGCAAATGCAGAGTTAATTTCAGAAAAAGAGAAGGTCATACCCATTTAAGGCTTATTTACATGGAATTTTTGTAATGGGTATCATACATCTGTTTATTAAGAATTTTTATTTTCAGGCTCAGATGCTTGCTGCAGAAAATGAAAAACTTCAATACCGTATAATTCATCTTCTGAGAGCCCTAAAGGATGCTGATTTAAAGTTAGAGCAGGTGAGTATTGCTGATTTTTCTTTCAATTCTTCTGGAGTCCATATTGATCAATCAGTAAAAGCTTGTATGGTAAGTATGCATCGTTTGAGTCAGTCTCTGGGATGAAATCTTTCATTATTAGACAACTAAATTGTTTTGCTAAGTCACAGATTTGGAGAAACATAATGATTCAACACACAGTTATCAATCTCAAATAGCATTGCGTTGCGGCTGACCCTAAGAATGCTATAGTGGTATAGCGCATGGCGGGACAGCCACTATTCTGAAATTTTTTATATAGATTACATATTTTATGCTATATCCATATAAATGCTTAAAAAGTTAAAATATATTCAAAATTCATGACATATTCATAATTGACAAGAGGAAGTAATAAGTCTTCAACAAAACATTCAAGTAAATAGCAAGGAGAGAGCTTAGACAAAATAATTAGTCTAGGTCTTTGGGAGACAGATAACAAAAAAACCTTTGGACTTGAGAGAATAAAAAAATTAGAACAAGGAGGGCACGTTGACAAAACAAAAAAGAATAGGAAGTCCTTAACCAACAAAAAACAGAGAAAAAGAGAATTGAAAAAAGAAGAGGAAAAGGAGAGAACAGCAACCAGCAGGACAGTGAGAACAAAAGGGAAAACAGGGCACTTGACGAAAATGCAGAATCAGTGAAATAGAGCATGGGTTAACCAGAAGACACCAAGTACTGACTGGAAAATACTAGGACATGGCCGAACAGTTGTTGAAAGGCATTGAGCTGATGAGTCGCATAGTAATAGAGGGGCAGAGACTAGGGAGAAGAGAGAGCGCAAAAATTGGAAGAGGTATTGACTTTTCTTGAGAACTCTTTTGAAACCCATGTTATTGTGTCATCAAAACCCCCAAATACCCCCAAACAAACATTAAAAATTAGGGCATATTGGAGATTTCGATTGTCTTCCACATCAAGGCACACAACAGACCGTGATTTTTCTGCTTTAGCAATCACAACAGATATAATGCCTAATTTGAACTTAAAGCAACATTTTAACAAACACAAAATATGTCGAACCTAGGTTGTCAATAGAGCGTGATAGCACTGTTATAGTTACGTGTATCACATAACACCATTAAGCTCTCTCTATGTATAAAAGAGAAACAAAATTATGATCACATGAAAATTTAAGATGGGAACCATGCTATAAAGAATAGCTTAGTGAAATTATCCCTGCTAATAAAGTCAGTTTTCTGCAGTGCCCTATTTAAAAAAAAAAAAAAACAGTTAAACAATGTAGATGGTTCTTACCCAGAATGTAATGTTTATGTTTAAAATTTTTCAGCGGTGTTAAATTATGTTTGAATTCTCAAAGTCATTCTAGATTGTGAGAAGTTGCGTCAAGGTTTATCTTGATTGCTCTTCAATGCTTATACAGACAGAATGATTTTAAAAATATGGCTCAACCTATTATATTTATCCCCCTTTATAAACAGAAATTCAGTAATGCTTTTTATGGAATATGGAATGTGGTTCATGGCTAAATTGGTATTATTTCGTATCTGGACCCTCAGGTGAAAGCACGGGAACAGCTGGATAGCATGAAATTGCAGAGTTCTTAAGTTCATGATCTGAGATAACCATTTGTTTTTTCCGGTGTATTTTTGTTTTCCTGTTGATGTGCATCATAAATATAGGTATGTTTTTTGTGATGCTAAATACGTTTGCCTTTTACAACTGTAGAATTCAAATTTGTGTTTAGTTCCTATTATAATGGACATTCGAAATTTCGTCGAAGTTATGTACACAGATGGTGAATTAGTAGTAAATGCTACACAGCCACAGAAAAGAAATTAAACAGTCGTTATTAGAAACAATGAAAGATGAGTTGTCCATCCAATAATTATTGAGCATTGCAAACTCATTTTGGCACCCATCTTGGAAAACTAGTTGTGTTTAATTATCATCATCCTACATTTTAATTTTAATACTTTTTAGGTTGGTGCACTTTTTTTTTTTATTGTTGTTATTCTTAAGTTGTATGGGGCTTATAGTTTTGTTTCTTTTGTATAATTTACAATAACTAATATAGGTGGCTCACCTTTCAACAACAATACAAAATTGAATTTTTGTTGTCATATGTTGATAGATTGAACTATTAAGACGTCGAAATTGTTTTAATTTGTCATTAACCTCTAAAGGCTTACAATATTTTTGTTGGGATAATGAAAATTGGTTGATAAATTTTAACTGTGATGGGGGCTAACCTATGAAGGATTTTTTATGGTCAATCAAGCGTGATCTCTCCAGATTGCCCACTTTATCTGTCCAATTGGGCCAAATACCTACTTCACAGCCCAATACGTAAATTGGGCCTGTGAAGTTTGTTTCATACATGCTTCGTTACAAGAGATCATAGTCAAGAGAGATCACGCTTTACAGGTATTCAGAATATTTCACTGTTGTCACATTAGCACATCATGCAATTTAGCTTCTGTATCCTGATTGTGTGGAAATTGCATTCTAGCATTATATATAACCAATAGCCTATCACTTGTTGAGGTACTAGATCTATTTTCTGTTATTACGTACTAGTATAATCACTAATTTGATCACTGGAGTATCTTTGCAAGAACACTACCCTTTTGCCATCTCTAATTTAACACGTACCAGTACCGTTACAACACTTCTCTAGACCTCTTATAAATGTGTCACAAACTATTATAATAAGTTATTGATAAACTTGTTCAAACGCACCTAAATATACAACCAATCTATTGTATTGATTAGACAGGCTAATTGGCTAGTTCGCGTATTGAACCGACTGATCTGGTTTGAATTTTTCAACATATGCAAAAAGTGTTGCACATGGTCGGATACAAAGTAGTTTACAAGACAAGAGTTTCTTTCTACCTTCCTAAAAATACTAGATCAGGTGTGTGGACTTTCCCTCTATTTTTTCCGTTAGTTTCTGAAAAACTAAAGACAAAAACATGTATGCGGCCACAAACACCAAAATTTCATCCATGTTTGTACAAAAGAAAATCAAAGGACAAAGTCATACTCTTGCCATATTTTATGCCATCTCGGGACCAGAAGGCAGTGCTTCATAACCATCATGGTGGTTTTTAGTATATCCCCTTTCAACTGGTATGCACTTAAGGATAGCAGCTATAGGCATGCTCACTGCTCCAAGTACCACGCTGAGTAACCAGAATTGCCAGCTTAGAGGCACTGTGCTGGCAAATGCTCCCAGAAATTCAACTATGATTACTTGAAATACCACTGTGGAGATAATTACCATAAAAAATATCCAGCTCTCAAATATGCCTCTGAATATGTTTATCTTTTCAATTTCTCGGCTGTTGATTTCATTGAAAACCTAGCAAAAATATGAATGGGGCAAAAGGAAAACAGAAAATAAAATAAGCAGTCCAATGGAACTTGATCGTTATATATGATATCTTGAATGCTTTACAATAGTATTTAAGTACAAACTGATGGTTCATAGAGGCAATAGCAAAGGTACGTAGATGTTTAAACTTTCCAGTTTATAATCATACATTCAAGTATAATAATAACAACATACTCACAAATTACTCAATTCATAAACTTAAATACAATTGGCGTAAATGTTTTTAATTCGTGCTTTTCTGTGACATATTGATTTTATTCTTTGTAAGAAATTATTTTGATTTCAGTACTTGATATTTTTATATTTAACATTTTTTGTCGTTAATGTTGACATGGTTTTATAAAAATTGACACGTAATAATTTCTTAATTAGCTACATCATCATTTGAGATTAAAAATGTTAAATTTACAAAAATAAGGGACTGAAACGCATTTTTTATATAAAAATTAAAATCAAAATTTTACAAAAGACCAAAACGTATTTAAGCCAAAAAATTTTATAAGCTTCATTAAATCTTTTGATCATATATTCAAACTTCTGAAAATTTTACCAGCTGATTGGATTAAAACATCATGTGGGTTCTTTTAAAAGTTTAACCATCTATTTGCCACTTATAATAAATCATAGTTAATTTTGTAAGGGTGCATGCTTTACCTGGAAAAATACGAAGGAGTTGAATATCAGAGTGTTGAGCACCATAGTTGCATCTGGCCCACTGATTTTCAGTAGCCTCTTTCCATCAAAATTGAGAACACCAAGGACAATTAGTTGATATAAACTTTGACCAAAAATATTCCTCCACATGGGCTTGGTGATAAAATTTGTTGTCCTTCGAACTGGGGGTCTTTTCATAAGTTCATCATTAGGAGGTTCAGTGGCCAAAGCCAAAGCACCCAGTGTGTCCATAATCAAGTTGACCCAAAGCAACTGAACAGCTGTAAGTGGAGCAGATCCTGAAAATAAAGAAGAAAACTTAATAGGCTGTTTATTGAAACAGATTCAAAGCATATTGAAAAACAAAAATTCTATAAATCAACAACAAACCTGTGATGCAAGCGGAAACAAAGTTAATAACCAGAGCAACAACATTAACTGTTAACTGAAACTGCACAAATTTTTGAATGTTTATGTATATGGCTCGTCCCCATCTGGCCACATTGACAATAGTAGTGAAGTTATCATCCATTATAATGACATCCGCATTTTCTTTGGCAACCTGTAAAAGGTATAATTTATAAAAAAGAAAAAATCGCATTACAACAAGTCTAAAAAGAACAAATTATACACATTAACAAGTCTAAAAATGCCCATGGTTGTAACACTTAAATATCATCAGATTCACCATAATAACAAAGTCACAAACCTCGGTTCCAGCTATGCCCATGGCAAGTCCAATATCTGACTCATGCAGTGCAGGAGCATCGTTGGTTCCATCACCAGTAACAGCTACAACCTCACCAAACATACTCCTCAAACGGGTTACTAAAGTATGCTTGTCCAGAGGTAAGGATCGCGCCATTACCTGAAACCATGTTAATCACATAAGAAAGAAAAACATCTCGAACTACAGTTGAAAGTCACATAGCTCAAAATGAGATCACAACCTGAATTTTTGGTATAATATCCTGCATTTGCTCTGGAGACAAGTCACGAAATTGTGGTCCTTCTATGGCTATACCACCCTCAGTAAGTATGCCACATTCTTTAGCTATGGCCTTAGCCGTGTTAATGTTATCACCAGTGACCATACGGACAGTTATTCCAGCAGCTAAACAAGTTTGAACAGCTTCCTTAACTCCAGGGCGAACAGGATCCTTAATTCCCACAATGGCTATCAGAGTATAGCAATCATCAGGGATGTTGGTTTCCCCTTGAGTTTCATTTACATCTGTGACAGCTAAACAAAGAGTTCTCAAAGCTTCAGAGGCAAAGCCATTTATAACATCAGAGACATTCTTTGCTTGCTCATCAGATAGATCAACAACTGTTCCATTATGATCAATAATTTTGTTACACATTTTTAATACTATTTCTGAAGCACCTTTGCAGAAAGCTCGGACCCCTCCATCAGGAAGACCAACAAGCACAGACATCTTCTTTCGGACTGAATTGAAAGGTTCAACCTTAAGTATCTTATATTCCCTACGCTGTGCATCAAAATCACCACCTGAAAGCAAGCCTAATTCCAATAATGCTGTTTCTGTTGGTGTTCCTAATATTGTCTTATTTCCATCTTTGTCCTTAACTACTTCAGCAGAAGTATTGTGAAATATAGCCTGCAAAAGGATGCCTAAGACTTCTTCAGATATTTCTGTTTTCATTTTGTCAACACTCTCATTACCATTAATCTCCATGCTCTTATCACATATCCAAATTTTATTAACCACCATATGGTTAGTAGTCAATGTTCCTGTTTTATCTGTGCAGATGCAAGTAGCTGAACCCATAGTCTCACAGGCAGAAAGATGTCTCACAAGTGCCTTGTCATTCATTAATTTTTTCATTGCAAAAGCAAGACTTAATGTCACAGCCAATGGCAATCCTTCAGGAATTGCAACAACTATTATGGTTACAGCAATAGCAAAGTAGTCTAGCAGCTTCAATGCATCATCTGAAGACCAACTACCAAATTCACCATTAACTGCTTTTTCAACCACAAACCTTATTGCCAACACCACAAATGTCAGCACAGCAAAAGTCAAACCAATTTTACCAATAATTGTAGCAACCCCATGTAATTTAACCTGCAGTGGGGTCTCATCCTCTCCTCCCTCATTTAGAGTATCCATCAACTTTCCCCATTCAGTCCTCATGCCAACAGTTGTAACTATCATCTTCCCTTGACCATCTTGCACTTTGGTTCCAGAAAGAAGAAAAGGTCTTTGCTCGTCTACATTTACCGGTTCGCTCTCACCTGTCAAACTTGACTCATCAATCACCAATGAATATCCTGATATATATACTCCATCAGCTGGAACTTGATCACCAGTTGACAAATGAACAATATCTCCCACAACCAAATCATAAATTGAGACTTTCTGTCTTTTTCCATCCCTTGTGACTTGAACAAAGATCTTTTTCTTCTCTTTGTCCAAATCCCTGAACTGAAGGGATTGCTGGTAGTCACTGATAGCAGTAACAATGACTACCAAGAAGACACTAAGTATGATTCCTAGACCATCATAAACACCCTTTGGCCACCCTTCAGTAGGAAGTCCTATAGCTATAGAAACTACAGCACAAACCATGAGAAGGATTAGTGTTAAGTCATGCAATGCTTCCCAAACAAACATCAAGAAGCTTTTAGAAGGTTTTTCAGTATAACGGTTCACTCCATAAATCTCTTGCCTGCTATCTATACTATCTCCACTAGCACCTTCATCGACTGAGACTGAGAGCTTGTCTATTATCCCTTCAACTTCACCAATTTTTTTGTAGTTCTTGTAATCGTGGCTTCGAACAAGTGATGCAATGTCATCTGGTTCAATACCAAAACCAGTTTCTTTGGTACTTTCTGATAGCTTATAATCAGCTGGACCAATAGCTGCATAAGAGAACTAGGTGAAGTAAGAAAAAGAGATTAGTGCTAAAGCAATCATATGAATTATAATTACAAAAACTGGAACTCCTTACCGTCCATTAGATGTTGTGCTGCCTGTTTAGCATAGATAACAGCCCGAATCTTTCCCTGATGGAATAGATAAAGATAATATTGTCAAACAAGATAACAAATTCACATATATATCTGAAAAAAGAGTACAAAAAATATTTTAACCGAGATAGAACTCTAATTTTGATTGAAAAATAATATAAAAATTACTTAGGGAACTGCGTTAAGTTTCGTCCAAAAGACAATGTTGACCACTTGAAAGCTATCAATTGTATACAACTAGTTTCATTTTTCATATGAATTTGTATAAATGAAGATCTATTCATGACGCATGTGACAGGACTGCTGTTTACACAGCTATAATAAGAGCACTTCACCGTTATACAGCACCAGAAGAGAAAATGCAACTGTTACCGTCAATGTTGATAAAGCCTGAGTATGGTTGAGCCTTTTCTCTGTCATTATTTAATTTTAACCAAATTACCTTAGAAATTAAAATTAGATTTATTCTAAGAGTTGCTATTTGTTTCAAATAATAATCTGCCATGCGAAAGGGTTCTGAAGATTCCCTGCTCATCCCGTTTCTCCTACACAACATCACTCTATAACAACGTATTGGAATTATAAACTTAAACTACTTCACTCTATGGACACGGTACAAATATCAAAATTAAACCCTCATATTTCAGCTTTTCACTGTCCCTGTTACGGGGTTAAGATAACAAAACCGTACGTTCCTAGGTTAGTACCAAATCAAAGAATATACAAGAGGGCCTCAAGTTCAAATTGCCTTAGCTATTTTAGACAAGTATGTCACGCAAGCTCAAGTTCAATCACTCCCCCTCACTCTTGGATTGAGCTTACATTAAAAAATTATAATATAATATAACGTCTAAATAAAAAAAAGTTCAAAAAAAAAAAAAAACTAGACTTGTGGCATTAAAAAAAAAATCAAGAAAAAGAAACATATACCCAAATAGTAATAATAAAAAAAACTGACGATATAAGTCCAAACTCAAAGTACAAGTTCAAACTGAAAAAAAGACTAAAATGCAAGTTATTAGGCCTAATATAGTTAGACTTGATGAGGAATATTAATATAATAAAGTCCTACATCGTAGGTTAGCAATCAAGTCACATTCGAAATCCTAATTCCTGTTAAGAAAATAAAGTTCTACATTAGTGGGTGGGTCATTCAAGTTTATGTCCAATCACTCTCCCTCACCTTTAAAACCGGTTCACATTCAAAATCTTAATCCTTAATAAGACAATAAAGTTTCACATTTTAATCCAGTGAGTCTCTCAAGCTTAAAGTTCAATCACTCTTTCTCATTTTTAAAACGAACTCAAATTCAAAATCTTAATCCTATTAAGATAATAAAATTCCACGTTGGTAGAGAGGTCACTCAAGCTTAATATACAATTTACTGAGCACAATAAAAAATTCTAATATATGATTTACTTATCTTCCCAATTCTCCTCAAACGTATTTGAGTCATTAAGCTTGTCTAAAATGAATCCTTACACATTAGAGGAAACAAAATTATGGGCAAATTAATGGTTGATGTTAAGTACACATTCTAAGGCACTAATCATGAATATATTAAAATTCTAAGTCTTTCAATTGTTTTATCAATGATTAAAATTCTTTTGTGTGTTGTCTAAAGTGATTTCCTCAATTTGGAGTTGCTGAAGCCATAAACTCCATCACTATCAGCATATTTGGTCATAGATCCTTAGCCACCGAAAGCATTTTAGGCCTTAACTAATCCAAATTAAGTCAAATAAATATAATTGAAGTTCAACTTTGGTGAATCTTTAGAGAAGTTTTCTACAAATTTATCTTTTCAAATTTTATATCAATTTTTTATCCTATAACAACTTCTCTACAAGTTACAACTTTACCTAAACTGACCTAATTCGAATCAAAAACTTTAAAAGAGTTGGTATCATCAGCATTAAGGGCAGTCGATAATTTAAACGTATTTTAAATTGAAGCTCTCAAAATTTAATTTTATAAAATTAATTTTACTTAAAAGTAAATTTAAAGTTACATGATTTATGTTTAAAAACTTTTTATTTAAAGGTATGTCTATAATAAAATTTTCAACTCAGCATAAAAATTATAATATACGACGCTGATTAAAACATAACTTTAAAGATAAAATTAATTTTATAGCAAAAACAAAAAGAAAATTAATTTTATCATAAGAATTATAAAATATATTAACACAAATTTAAATCAGTTATATTTTTAAATTCAAATATAAAAACTTTCAAAACCCAGCCAACCATGGACTAAGAGGTCTTACAGAGTTACAGGCAAATCATAACTGAAAAAGTGTCGACCGAAACAATTATATTGGTTGAAGTTATCACTATATTGAATCAACACAAAAAAAAATGCTAATTTTATTAATCAAAGGGTACTATAAGCTCAGTTTTCAATGCCACGCATGAAACGCGACAAGCAAATTTTCCCATGCTGATGCGCACCTCAAGCTCAACGACCACGTTAGTTGCCGTCCCTCCAATCAACCCACTATCAAATACTAAAATTAGTAACTATCAAAGTGAATGCTACTTTTCCCATAAACTTAAAACATCTTATACATTTTTTTAATTGACGTTTTAATATTTTAAAAATTAAAAAATATTTATATTTTTTAAAATGAACCTATCACTGCTTTTAAAATTAAAAGTACTATAAAATTAACAGTAATAATTATTTTATACATAAAAACAAAATATTTTTTAATCTTTAAAATACTGTAATAATAATATTATTTTATAAATAATATGTATAGAATATATAAAAAAAATTTAAGACACCATAAAGATTATCAATATTAAATTATTTATTGGGATCAAAACACGAACATGGTCAAGGACACGATAAGCACTAAGCAATGACCCAGTCAATCGAGGAAGTGATTCTTGTGTACCTAGACACCAATGCTCTTCGGTATTCACGATCTTTTTATTAAATTTTTTAATCGCCACTTTTAATTTGTACCATCTTTCCTTCTCTTTATTGGAGTAGGTGAAATAAATTATTAGATTATTTTGTAAAATGATGTCTGTGTTTTAGTTTCAAACCATATAGTGTACAGGTTATTTAAAATTTTTAAGCTTTTAAAATTTAATCTGCACGTGAATAAAGAACAAAGAATATAAGTTACATTAAATCGACTATTCCTGGTGTGTAAAATACTATCACACAATTAGATTAGAATAATTTTTTCAATGGATATTCATAAAAAAGAAATATAAAGATAAATAAATTAAACTCCTCCAAAAATTATAATTAAATTAGCAATCTTACTTTTTAAAGAAATTAAATAAAAGACTCTAGAAAATATAATGGGCACAAATTAATTAAATTTTGAATCCTTATTTTTTTATAAATACTTAATAGAAAAATTAACCAAACTGACCTTTAAGATACATTCGTTGACAATCTTATTATAAAAGTTAGTCATAGTTTCAAAACATGAAATAAATATATTCAATAACAAAAATTTTAGTAAAAAAATATATTTATTATCAATATCATTCAATAAATAAAAAAAACTATAGAAATAGTCTCAATTCGTCACTCCCCTCGATTCGCGAATCTAAGGATCATTATGGCTCCCCACACTTCTGCAATCTTTTATCTATCTATCTATATATACTAAATTATTAAAAAAAACAAAATTATTTATATTATATTTATATAACTGTATTAATAAAATTATTTTAGTAAGATAATTTCATTTAAAGCTTTCCCTTCCAATGTTTCTCGCTCAATCAAAATTATTCAAAATATTTTTATTCTTACAAGAATTTTCTTCAGGATCCACCTCTACTATCCGTCGTTAATATGAGGGTAATTTTATCATCTGATTGTTATTTTTTTGTAATTCCACTTTTGGCATTTCCCTAAGAAAAGAAACTTCATACTACAAGGTCGTGAATTTTAGTGGACTTTGCCACTTCCACATTCGAAAGTTTTGCGACTTTTATTTATTATAACTTTCTGGGCAAAAAGTTATAAATTTATAGAAAAATTACAACTTGATTAACAAAAACTGCAAAAATTATTAAAAAAATTACAAACTTGTCGAGATAGTGTCATATATTTGTCTTCCGTCCTACGGGAGTAAATTTCGTTACATTAGTAACATCTACATTTGTCTTCCCTACTTTATAGGTTTTTTTATTAAAATATTACAGATTTAAAAATAAATTCTTAAATTATATATTTTTTTAAATTATTTCTCTACGAGTGATTTGGTTGACATGACATAATATTTTACCAAAATAATTGACAAAAATAATTTTTTTTAAAATAACATATTTTGCCATCAAAGATTCAAAATAATCAGATCGCAACACGTATTAGAATATGATTAATTTTATAATATTTATAATAAAATTAAAAGTCAGTCTCATCATAAAAATAAAAAACTTGTAGATAATAAATGATGAGATGTATTACGATTTTAATAAATTTTATTTTAAAAATTGTACAACTTAAAAAAAATTGATATGTGTCACTTATTTGACCAATTATACAAATTAAATATAATTTTTTAAATTACTATAAAATTATAATCACATTATAATTAAATAAAATTCTAACAAAATTAACTACCGATATACTTGAAAATATTTTTTTATTTACATACTAATTTAAATTATATCTTAATTAAAAAATTAAAATCATTAACATAATTAAGCATAATAATTTTTATTATTAAATACTAATTATAATTACATTAAAATTAAAAAAAAAAACAAGAGCGTGGATAACTCGCAGAAATTGTCCACAAAGTGTTTGAGAGTGTAAAAATATTGTACTAAAATTAATCTCATTTAAAATGGATAATCAATTTAGATTTATATTTAAAAATTTAAATGTTCGTTTTGATGTATTTTGATGAATTAATTTAAGCTTGTATTTGCATATTAATAAAAATAAAATTTATATTTTAATCAATTTAATATATTTATCCTAAAAAAAGCAATAAGCAATCCATTCAATCCAAATGATTCTAGAGCAAATTATATCAAATGGAATAAGAAAATTGAATAAAATGGCTTCGTTCGTTAATTTTTTCTGTAAAACGGAAACAATGGATGGATATGTTGTATGTGGATATTGGACGCCAAAACATAACAGTAATAAGAAGTAAAGCTGCAACTAATACAAAAAGTTCCTCTTAAAAAAAAAGTCACCATACTCTAATGTTCTATCGGTTTCAGTTATTATTGAGTACCAAACCTTTTCGTCTGAAACCTCATTTTTCCTTTCGGAAGAAGTTACGACAAATCTTTTCGTGTTTTTGGCATTATTTTTAATTAAAGTTTATTCTTTAAAACTATAATAATATTAATATGAAAATAATATATATTTATAAACTTTTTAATTAATTTTATGATTCAATTAATGATATAAAAAAATTGAAAAAAATGTAAATATCTAATTGGAGAAAAGAGAAAAGAGGTGGACCTGTATTTTGCGGTGTTTGTCAAGAGCTTGTTTGCGTTTGGCGAGATCTGCGACCATGCGGAACCTTCTGCGAGGGTTTTTGACGAGCCATGCGGAAACTGCAGATCTCCATCGACTCAAAGCTTCGGAGGAACGATCTTTGTGATCCAATTCGAAATCCTTCATTAGCAAACTCTCCATCTCCAGTTGCTTCAAACCTATCACACTGCATTCGTTTCTATTTACTTCACCTTTGAGAACTAAGAACAAGAAGAAGATATGTGATGATAGGTAGATATGTGTGATTTTTATTCTGAGTCTGACTCTCCCCTTAGTCAGAGGTGGAGCCACACCACGAATGCCAAACGGCAACGTTTCATGGGCCTGTCTCGTTAATTGTGCCTTCATCGTCTCACTAAATATATATATTATAGTAAAAATTTATTAAATAGTATTTCTACAATAACTACATTAAATTCTATAATTTCAATAATAGTTTATTATACATTTTTAAAAAATAAAAAAATTATAATTTTTTTATTTTTATATTACTCTTTTTATTCATATTTTTTCATAAAATGTATTTTTTTATAAAGCAATTTTTTAATATATATTAATGACATGCAGTAAATATGTATATAATAAGTTATTATTAAAAACTAAAAAATATATCATTAAATTTAATTCATTAATAATATTAAATTTTATAATTTTAATAAATATTACTATCCATTCAAATTTTATCATGTATTCTTTAATATATATTAAAAAATTATTTATAGAAATATTTATGTTATATTGTTATACATTTGTTAAAAATATTATCATTTTTATTTTTTTCTATATTACTCATTGATTTTTATATTTTTATTTTTTTCTTCAAATATAATATTTCTACATAATATATTTTTAAGATATACTAAAGATATATAACAAAAGTTTGTATGTAATAAATTACAAAATATAATTAAATTTAATATATGAAAAATATTAATCATGTTATTTTGATAAAAACATTATTTATTAAATTTATCATGTATCCTTTAATATATGTTTAAAAGTTATTTATAAAAATTTCGTTACTATAATTATTTGTGACGGAAAGCTGACTTCGCGGGAAAGTGGGATCCACGACAATAAAGTCAAGTCAAGTGTAATTTTAAGTCATTGAATTTTGAATAGGAAATACTCATTTTAAATTAAAACACTCTTAGACGCGCATTTTTTCTTTTATACGGGATTTTGAGAGAAAATAGCGGGAATATAAATAAAACTTTCATTGACGATTTCTTAATGTTAGGTGTGTACTGTGTAGACAAATTCAAAAACTGTCACCGGCAACTTCTAAGGTATTAAAATTAATTTTTAACTATGTAAAAATTATTATTAACAATTTTTAAGGTTTAATTTTTTTATAAAAAGTTATTTTTTTATTTTTATTTTTTTGGTTACATAAGAGAGTAAACCCCCCCCCCAAAAAAAACTACTACAAGAAGATTCTATACAAGCTATTTATAAGAAAGTTATTTATTTTCATTTGATAAATTTAGATTTGTGTCATAAAATGTCATGTATTTCATTTTCAAGTGACATTGTTTATAAATGACAATTTTGTAATAATTTTATTACTTGTTATAAGCAATAAATTAAATAATAACCACTAAAATATAAAATAATTAATTAAATTATTTAAAAATAAATTAATACTTATACCAACAACATGCATATATTGATTAGAGCGTAATATTTTACGGCAATGGATGGTTACATGGGCTGAACCATCCTGCCGCACAAGAGGATCTAAATCTATATTTGTAAAACATTATAATAAAATTATAATACAATATTATTATTATTATTATTATTATATTTATATTTATATTTATTTAATTTAAAAATATTTAAAATATGACTTTTTTAATTAAACAATTTGTTAAAAAATTTACTGAGTTGTTTTTGTCAAATAATTTTATCCTTACTTCAGCTTAGTGTATTTTTATCAAATAAGTTTCTCCTAACTTAAGTTTATTTTTACAAATTTCACTAAAAAAATTCCAATTTTTAATGAATGCTTTAAGGATAACCCGACACCTTTTTTTATCTCTGATCTTAATAATGTCGAGTTTTGGTGCACGTCAAAAACTGAGTTTTTTTATTTAAATATTGTAATTTAAAAATAATATTTTTATTTATTGTATTTTTCAAAGTATTTTCTTATGTAAGGTGAATATGGTTGTGGTAAAAGTTTTGCTAATACAGCCGATAAAAATGTTAAATTTTATTTTTTTTAAAATAAATTTTGCCATCAGCAAAATAAGTTAGATGTCACGTCACGAATCATTATCTTTTCAATTTCACTATATATTTAGCAGAATTAAAAGGAAGTTACCCTGCAATAGCGAAACTTTTTTATATTAACATATATTACTGTGTGTGTGAGTTTTATCTTAAAAATGATTCAATTTGTGGGAAGTTGACATGTAACATATTTCTAGAAAAATATAAAAATAATATGGCTTATATATATTTGTATGTAGCTAGATATTATATATATATATATATATATATATATATATAAGATAAATAAATTGCTAAATTTAGGTTACATGTCAATATCAACTCCAACGAGTTATGATATTTTTATGATAAAATTTACATAAATAATAACATGTATCAACATCATGTTTATTTTACGTTTTTTTGACAAAATTTATTTTAAAAAATAAAATTTACATTTTTGCTAATAATATTAATAAAACTTTTGTCACATAATTAAATTTATCTCAAATAAAAAAGTTAAAAAACAATAAATAAAAAACTAACTTTTAAATTATAATATTTAAGTAAAAAATCTCAAAAAGCTGGGCTTATTTATTTTTTTAATGTTTTTTAAAAAACAAATTCTTAAAATAATGTTTTTTAAAAACAAATTCTATGTCTGGAGTCTTTTTTGCCACGTTAAGACCTGTTTCGCATACTGTATAGACGAAATATTTTTTTTTATTTTTTAAATGCTATTTCGTCTTTAGTAGAGATGAAACTATCAGATTGCGCCATGTGTCAACATCTTGTGTGTTTTGCCTACTGCAAAGACAAAACTCAATGAATGGTGCCATGTGTCATGATCTGGATCAATTTATGAAAATGGTTAAAAAAAAATTATATTTTAATATTTAATTAATATTTATTAAAAATAGAAAATTATAAAATTTAAAAATAAAAAAATTATATAATTTTTAATTAACTTAATTAATAACTACAAATATATTAAAAATGTATATTGAAATTAAATTATATATACTGTATGACGCAAAAAAGAATACCTACTAATAAAATTATAAATTTATAATTTTTTATTTAAACTAGTTTGTAAGTTAGGTGTGATATTTAAAAATCTTAATAATTTATATAATAAATATGTATTGTTTTATAATTTTTATAGATATTTAAACTAAGATTAACAAATTCTTAACACTATATTTTTTAATATATTTATAATTATTAATTAATTTAATTAAAAATTATCTAAATTTCAATAATTTATTCTTAAATTAAATATTATGATTTTTTTATTTTAATATATTTTAATTAAATATTATATTTTTTTCAATACATTTCCATTAAATTCCAATGCTGCTATTATAAATTTATAATTTTATTAGCAGATATTTTTTTTTGCGTCATACATTATACATAGTGTAATTTTAATATATTTTTAATATATTTGTAGTTGTTAATTAAGTTAATTAAAAATTATATAATTTTTTTATTCTTAAATTTTATAATTTTCTATTTTTAATAAATATTAATTAAATATTAAAATATAAATTATTTTTTTTAACTACTTTCGTAAATTGATCCAGATCATGACACATGGCACCATTAATTGAGTTTCGTCTCTGCAGTAGACGAAACTCACCAGATGTTGACACATGGCGTACTCTGATAGTTTCATCTCTGCTAAAGACGAAATAGCATTTAAAAAATAAAAAAAAATATTTCATCCATACAGTATGCGAAACAAGTCTTGACGTGACAAAAAAGACCTCAGATAGGAAATTTATTTTTAAAAAATATTATTTTAAGAATTTATTTTTTAAAAAATATTAAAAAAATAAATAAGCCGAAAAAACTGTGGGAGCAGGAAAAGAAATTAAGAAAGAGAGCCCCTCTATTTTGAATATTGCTACCACATATTTATATTTTTGGCATTTTTTCAATTTTTAAGAAATCGAGCCGGCTGCAGCTTCCCTAGTCAGAAGTCAGAAGTCAGAAGGTACATCGTACAAAAGAAAGATAAAAATAAAACTCAATCTTCTCAAGTATAAAATAAAAAATATTTAATATTTAACTAAAATGAATAATCCAATATTATACATTCATGTGGGAAGGAAAAGAAATTAAGAAAGTTGTTCACTTGATCTTGAATATTGCTGCCAGATTGTTACTTTCTTTTCTCCCATTTGGAACAAATCAAACAATCCAGAACTTCCACGGTCAAAAAGTACACAGCGGGACAGATAAATAATCAAAATTATATATATAATTGGGCGCTTCTTGGTAAATGGTTGTGGCGAGGTGTTAACTGTTCTAGTTCATTGTGGGTGCGGGTGTTAGAATCTAGATATGGAAGATTAGCTTCTTCTCTTCAGCGTTCATCAGTTCACAACAGTTGTTCTTTGTGGTGGCGTGATTTGCTGGAGGTTATTCATCAAGGGAATTCATGGCTGGATGAGAAGTTTGATAGAAGTGTGGGTGCAGGTTTTCACACTCTCTTTTGGAGAGATAAGTGGGTAGGAGGGGTGCGATTGTGTGAAGCATTTCCGCGATTATTTGCAGTGGCGAGAAATGCTGAATCATGTGTATTGGAGAATGGTTTTCATGATGGCACTAGATGGGTTTGGAATGTTAGTTGGCGAAGAGGACTCTTTCAACATGAGATCTTGAGCTTTAATCTTTTGTTGGAGCTTGTGGATGGAGTTTCTATTAAGTTACTACAAGAAGATAAATGGGTATGGAGGGCAGATTCTTCAGGTTGTTATTCAGTGCAATCTGCGTATTCATGGCTATTTGAACTTTTTGGTGGTCCTAATAGTGTAGATCAGTATACGGCAGATGCCTTGCAAAGGCTATGGAGAGGGAAGGTCCCTCTTAAGTGTCTGGTTTTTTCTTGGCAATTGTTGTTGAATGCACTTCCTTGTAAAGGTTTACTGATTGATCGTGGTGTTCAAATTGATGATATAACTTGTTGCTTCTGTCATGGTTTGGAGGAACTTCCAACTCATTTATTTTTAACGTGCTCAGTTTCATCTCAAATCTGGTACTTTACTGCGCGTTGGTTTTGATTCTCACTGGTTCTGCCTTCAGATTTATCGACTCACTTGCTTT